TTAGTTTCCCTGTTGTATTTGGAGTATTCCGTTTTCTATAGACCAAGGTGCTTTGAGTATTGTTTTTGTTGACCAATTCTTTTTCTCAAAATGTTGTGCTAACTGAATTAGTTTCATTGTTTAATGAAAAGGGCACATCACACATTCTTTACACTGCGTAGATACAATTTGAAGAAAAATATTTCTTGACGGGTAAAAATTCGTGACTAGAAAGGCTTACCAACACGACAAAAAATGGATTTTCCTCAAAGTGACTCACAATTGCAAAGATAGACAAAAATAATAAGTTAAAAAAACAAATAACCTCCAGGTTTATGTGAAGAAAGTGGAAAATAATAATACGTATTTTTCCCGCAGTGTTGGTACGCATGGGAGTCTGACTAGATTTTTAAACCAATTTACATAGGATTGAGCTATTTTTTCGTTCATTTTTTGAGCTGCTTCATCTTTATGTTTCTAGTTTTAGTCTTATCATTATCATGTTCGAACAAGATATATTATTACACTTGATCCCAAGACACTTAGAAAGACCTGATAGCGAGGCGGCAACATTCGCGCGGAATGTTGCCCTCTTAGTTGTCTCCCTGATTCTTAAGCTCATTTTCGACGATATCGAGTCAATTTTTCTTCTTCTTATACCTTTCTCTCTTCCTTTCATTTTCTTCGCCTTCTTATATGATCCAGCTTTTCTTCTCCTTCTCTCCCTCTCTCGCTTCTTTTGTCGCAAAAAAGTTTCTTTTTTTTTAATATTTGGACTTCTTTCACTTCTAAATATTCGCAAAAAATGAATTGCATTGGAGTTAGGGAGCATTCTTATCAACAAACCTGCAACACAGGCAATGGCACAAGGGGTGGGGGAACGGGGATCAGTGAGGAGGGGAAGGGGGGGGGGCAACAAAATGGAACCCAACCTTTTGACGATAAAACTTATTAAAAAAAAAAAAAAAAAAAAAAAAAAAAATCAAATATATGCATCATCAGCTTACTGCATGTGCACCGTTATTAGAAATACTTACAGCATTCACCATTAATTATCATTAATGTTTTTTTTTTCTTATCATCACCATAAGAAGAAGAACGACAAAGCTTTAATGTGTGAAAGTGTGGAAAGGGGCTACTGAGTATCTGGGCAAATATGCATGAGGCCTAATTTTTGAGATTCACCAGAATATATATCTCCTATACGTATATATTGCAGTAATTCCCCAAAAATAGTTCGTTTAACAGCAATATCAAAGGCTAAAACTCATGACTTCTTTTTGATAAATTTACAACAGTCATCCAGAACCCTTTAAAAGTGAAAACACAGGTACCTAGATCAGAAAAAACACTAAAGAATATTACATCACATATTTGATCGTAGGCCCTTAATACGTATCTAAATAATAATGTACATTAAAAGTAAATGTTTTTTTCTCTCATCCTTTCTTCATTTCCAGTTTTCTTTTCTTTCTAATATCATTATTATTATTATTATTATTATTATTATTATAATCATAACCGATGTCTTTCTCAAGTGAAAAGATAACTCTTGCGACCTGTGGGAGTTGTGGCCAGTCACGTGACCGGTCAAGAGTCAGAGTCTATGGCGACGTAGGATGGCACAGTTACTAACCTAACCTAGCAAGTGTTGGTACACAGAAACGTACATAGCAAATATCACAACCATGTGCAGGTGACGTTCCCGACGACGACGACGACGACGACGAAAGCGACGTCCGACGACTTTGACGCGACGCCGACGCCGACGACGATACGACGACGACGCGGCGGCGACGACGACGGCACCTCCCGCGTCACGCTGCCCCGGTCCTGCGTGGCGGTGGCCGAGGACGTGTGGCTCCCATGGCACCCTCTCACACTGCTAAGACAACGGAGTCTTTTTTCTTTTCTTGGCGGCCAGCGAGTCCGTTTGGCGGTCGGTAGCGTCCACTGCCGCCAGGCTGCCGTCAATCAGTGTGAGAAATACAGCTCCCGTGTATATATGTATATATATATCCCCGAATCACACTCCCCCGTATATCACACTTATTATTTTATCTATATGAACTATAATCTCATTTCCACCTTTTTTGTTGAATACCCTTTTTAAATGTGGCACTCTGAGCTAAAGCAGTTTGTGTGGCCGAGGAACGAGCTCCTCCCTTCCTCCCCGGCTCCAGGAACCTTCTCCTCGCCTGCCTTCTTCTGCGCCTGCGGGTGTTGCACTGCACTCTGCTATCGCGGCTTGCAAGAGACACTTCCAGCTTGTATTTTCACCATTTACGTTATCGCGACGACACATCTTCCAGGATACGAGTAATTATATATTTCCGTATCGTAATTCCGCACGTTTTCCGGTCACTGGTGGTTCTCGATGTGACATAAGTATCAAAATCGCATTGACTACTAGGCAAAAAGCACCGTTTAGGTTTCTCGAAAAAATAATAACACGGAAAGATAGTCAAAAAAAGACTGATGATGATGATGATGACGATCATCAGCTTTCCAAGCCTCGCTT